ATCTATCCTCATCACTACATCATTGAGCCCCGCCACTGTATTAGCCGCGCCCACATTCTGCACCACCAAGCTCCAGTGCTGCATTTTCCCAGTACCAGTACTACATCATTGAGCCCCGCCACTCTATAAGCCGCGCCCACATTCTGCATGACCGAGCCCCAGTACTGCATCGCCTGGCCCCCCGCCCGCATAAACTGAGGCTGAGTGCCGCATCGCCGAGCTGCAATGTAGCGTCAATCAATCCCGGACACTGGACTGACGAGACCCCAGCGCGGCGGCACAGTGCTGGGTCAGTGCTCCAATCAAGTACTCCATAACCGAGATACGCGGAGCCTCGCTGAACTGCATCAACCAAACCCCAGCATTGCCTCAGCCGAGTTTCTATGCCGCGACAACCGTGCCTGGCTTGCGTGGAGCGAGTCCGAGTACAACATCATCGATTGTGCAACACTGCATTTCTAAGCTCCGCTACCGCCTTACACCAAACGCACCTAACACTACCATCTCAGGCCGACTGTCGGCGTTCCCATGGCTCGCGTTACAGCACAGCACAAACCGAGCTGTAACAGTCATTGTCGAGTGATGCTGGGAAGTCGGGAGGTGCCTGTAAAGCCTTCAAATCACAGAGAGAATAGAAGAGGGTTCTAGACCGACTGCTCGTCTATAAGCTGCTCGCTATCAGACTTCAGCAATATCCTGTTTTCCGGGCGCTTGGCGCTTTCAAGGCCATTTCGCGCAATAACATTCGCATTCCATCCTCGCGAACAGTCCTCCGTGCTACCTAGTGCGAGCTTGTCTTTGCGGTAAACGTATTCACCAGTATTGAAGGGATTTTGACTGGTGCCCAATTTGCTGATATGTGGCACGCATTAGCAAAGCCTCCCATCCATATGAGCTGCAGCTCAAACAGCGTGCTTAAGCACAAAACACGCACAGACACACAAATTAATGCATCTCACACGACCAAAATGCCGCCCGATGGTCGCTTCGAACAAACAAAAGCCGTTTTGCGCGATTCTGAAGGTAAGCCGCTTTTCCCAGATTGGCCAGCATCAGCTGTATATTTGTGTGTGAAAAGTTGGCCATAAGCGTTGCGGTGGTCGACATGACAGTATACCAGAATTATCAATCCCACCCGAATATTGCTAGCAATGCAATTCAACAAATTTATCGAGGGGTTCTGGCAATCGTTTCCCTTTCCCAGCGATAGTTTTCCTCTTGGTCTATCAAAAATTTCGTTTGAAACGTTGGAAAGCAGGGACAAAAGCTCACGGACATGAACAGGCACTTGCCACGGTGAAAACGTGCATCACTTGGACTCCTGCCTGGCTAACGAGGCATCCGTCTCCTTTCGGGATGGATAAATAGAACTAAACGCAACAAAGCGGTTCAACAAAACACTTTGCGTTCTCCCCATGCATCGTGGGTAAGTGCGCGACCGGTCAGCAGTACTGTTTGGGATCAAAACCACAGCATCGACGGCTCCATTGAGCTACGGAGACCGCTTCTGGTGCCGCGGACCCATCACAGTCTGGTATTCAGACCTCGCCAAACGGCTGCAGCGGGGCCGCGTCGGCGTCATAAGGCTGGCCGGGACACAGCTGTCGGTATTTGCTCTGTCAGCCACCCGCCGGTGGAAAGGGGGGAGGGGAGGGGCAGGATGGAGACAGAGATCAAATGAAGGGGAACAGAGAAGACCGGAACTCAGAAAGAGATCAGGCGCTTCTCGACTATTCGGTAAGAATTCAATTCCTTAGATCACTGCACTGATACACGCAGCAAAACTAAAATCTTCAGACATCGGAAAGGGCATCATTATCAACGTAAGTAGCAAAGAAAGCGAAATTGTCAGAACACCGATAACGAAGGCAAAGGAAAGCCGATAGAAGGCAGAGAGAACGAGGAGAGGAAAGCGAAAAAGAGAGAAGAAAGCCAAGGAGAGATACGTGAGACAAAAAAAGTGAGAACAAAAATTCAAACGGAAGGGCTGTGAGCGACACAGATGCATGAACAATAAACTGCAGGAGTCGGTGCACGGCAGGCCTGCAGCGCGGCGCCGGGCTGGCTGCAGTCTGGCCATCCCTGACCTCGCTCACTAATACCGAGCCATCAGGAGCAGCTGATCGGACAGCTGACGGGCCGACCGGCAGCGGACACCTGTGGCTGACCTGGCCGGGCTGGCTGGCTGGCTGGCAGGCCGGCCGGGCGGCACGGGACACGCGCGAGGGGCTGGCGGCGCGCTGGAGCTACTCACAGGGCGGCGAAGCGGGCAGGCGATCCCAACATCTCGACGGAGGGATGCAAGGCGACCGCAACCGACGCTCGGGCGGCCGCCGACCACTCCATCGACCCGTCGGCCACGGCGCACGCGCCCGCCCGCAGTAAATATAGCGCTCGCGCCAGATTGAGGTGAACGGTGCCACACAATGCGACGGCACAGCCGGCGCTGGGCTCGGGTTAGAGATGACATCCTTCCTAGGGTAGGTGGCTTGGGATCCAGGTTCAGATTCAGATTCAGATTTATAGTTTGGTTTGAGATTCAAAAGTGCTCGGATAGATTCGAGTACTTGCATCATAATCTCGACCTAATACCATGCAAAAAAGGACGATTAGCGACTCAGCCTGCGGTAGGACCGATCTTTGGTGTCGAATTGATCTTATCTGAAGTAAACACAAACACCTAACACAAATACTATTGGGTACCTTAAGTTGCATATTCTAATGATGACTTTCAGGATTCAGCATGGTCTTTAGTGTCAACATCCTGATTTTCAGGGTTGGAATAAGCGTTGTTTGAGTTCCAGGACTCGCATCATTCGAAAACCTGTGAATCCGAATTTTCATCTTTAGTTGGAGTGCGATGGCTGAGAGGCGACACATGTTTTTTTATGAGAATGGTGAGAGATTGGGATCATGGCGCAGTTTTTCGTAAGAGATTCAGCCAAGGGAACATGCGGATCAGTAGCGATTGAAGAAAAAAGAGTGCGAAGGGAAGGCGCACAGAAAGGGTAGGAAAAACGCTGCTCCGTAGATAAAGACATGTTGTTTTGTGCTGTAACATAGATAGGGGGATGGGGCAAGTTGTGGCTACTCCAAAACCATGTGAATCAAACAGAATCCGGCTTAGATGGCTGAGAGCCGAATCATCATTTGAATTAAAATAACTTTTCAAAACGTGATTTTAAATAAACCGTCGGCTCAACAAAGTTGGACAGACAAGCATGATTTACCCAAATTTTGGATGACTGTTGAATCCGACTCTGAGCACGAATCGTGTGGAACACACGTTCCATTCATGGAGCACGTACCCGATTTCCCTCCAAATTCAACATCTCAACATCAACCATACGGTGCTGCATGGGAAGAACAGACTCGACGATCGTGCTTGGACCCCCCCCCCCCCTCCATGACTCTCACAGGCAGGGACGAATCATCGACCAAACTCGAACCTGTGGGGCTGAACCACCAACTCTTCCCCATTCGATACGTCATGGTCGATAGCCACTTTTTTCAGAGCATTGTGCCCTTGGATCAGGCCAAAGATCACAAAAACGGCACCCTAAACCAGCGTTATCGGCTAACCAACATCCCTATCTCCGAGCCCAACTGGCTGGTCAAAACAAAATGTTTGCCATTGGATGCGCCAAAAACGCATACAGTTACACGACTAAACTTGCTACAAATCCGACGCTCCGGACCTATTTGACCCACCGCCATAAACCTCCACCACTCGATGCGTCGTGGTCGGTAATACATCATTTTCACCACATGGTGACCTTACATCGTGTCAAACGTCCCGAAAATCATCTTTAGAGAAGTGTTTCACCTTTGTATGGGCGTTAGTCTGAAATAGCCATACTGAAGATCAATCGGTGCAGTTCATGAATTTTCAACAAATTCAAAACATAAATTTAAAACAGCTCAACAGAAATTTAAACTCATGAACGCCTAAACTCCTCCCAGTTTCTGAGCTAAATGCCCGCGAAAAGGTGGACTATTTCGTGCAAACTATTTCAATATCACAAAGCGTCCATGGTGCTCTCATAACGTCATTCACATTCTGCCAGTCCATTGGTCATGCGGTAATCAAGCCCAAGAAATATGTAATTGTCGGGTCGTTCCTATCTGGTGTCTGTAAGGACGATTTCCAGATAAAACGTCTGTCAATTGGCTCCCAATAAATGTTGTGCAGGGTGCGATGCCCAATCAAACGATAACGAATTGGAGGGCATATCTACAACATGGAGAAACTACGTTATCTGGTGCAGTCTTTTCCACTTCAAAGTATACCAATAGTTAAAATTGGGGCTATATCACCACATCTGATCATTGCTTTAATGCCTCTAAATGTGTAACATCCCCTTTAAAACATCAAAATCACCTGCAGACGATCCCTATTGTGCCGATTGTTGCACCTTTCGATGCAGTCATGGTGTTTTGCGCAATTTCTAGGATTTCGGCGCCTTCGGGCGTTATGATAACCGCTGGCCTGACCTCAGGTCACCATAACCTGAAAATGATATTACCGTCCACGGTGCATCACATTGTACACGTTTAGTGTCGATTTGTTCTATAGTACCGAAGCGCAGGATGGGCAGCAGCCGATTTCGACCGTTACGTATGCTTTTGGAATGCGGCTGCTTTTGGCGGTCCTTTACCCAACTTACCACCACCATGTACTGGGAAGCACGCGTTAAAGAAATCAGCAAAACAAATAGTGGGGATTTCGTGGGGATCGGTGCCACAGTCTCGTAGCAAGGGATCGTCAGCAGCCTTGGCCACTCGATCAGTCCCTGCCCTTTACGTCCCTGGGCTGTACATCATGCATACGTGGGCTCCACTATCATATTATGCAGTTGCTAACGACAAAATCGAGTCTGCTGTGAAGCAGCAGTCACGCGCGTCTAATCGACCTAGGTCATGTAAGGTCGCGGAGAACCTATGCATGCTAGCATGCGTAGGTCACCCGCGAGGCCCTGGCTGCCTCTGGGCGAACTTACGCATGAACGGAGCCGCCAGCCGCGCCACACATTGTCGACGAGGCCTTGACGCCCATGGGCCGCTCCGGCATGGGTGCTGCTCGCGGGGAGGCCCCCCAGGTGACGGGCAAGCGTTGCTCACCCCATGGAGCCGTGCCGCACCATAATCCGCGGTAGGCCGAAGGACGCAAGGCGCATGGCGGAGACCAAAGGCAGAGGCTAGGAGGCTTCACGCAAGAGCGACCTCCAGCGATTCGCAAGCCGTCAGAAGATGGTTTGATGTCAAGACATATGACAAATTTTAGACTCACTGCGGGCAATTTATAAACAGAGGGAGGTACATCTACGTTCGACAATTTACGACTACACACAGAGCCGAAGAACACGCGTCCGACAGAGCTGGATATTTTTAATTTCGGAAAGGATAATTAAACAAAACGGCAGCATTGTTTTCAAGGCAAGTACCTCTGTCAGCGCGGAAAGCCATACAGCATTAGATTCACGCAATGCTACGTGAATGTTAAATGCCACGTGTGGTGAAATACCGCCAATATCATAGGGTACCTGCGCTATGCGAGAGCGTAATGCGACCGTTTCGAACCCGCAACTCAGAGGTCACTGATAATCCGCCTGAGCAAACGAGCAAAAGAGTGGTGCATTTGAGTACGACGCTTTGCGCCATTAGCAAACGATGTTGGGATATTCATGTAATGGTTACTGCTGTTTGCAGGGGCAACACCATTGGCTGATTTCTGCGGGAAGGCAGGGGGTTGAACGGTGCAGATATCATTTCTTGGCTATTCTTACTATACCGTGCCATATGCGTGACGTTAAATTTCAAGATGATTTGGTCTGTGGCACGCGCCTTCTCGTCACTACCGGTGGCGGTGTCCCTCGGCTGTTCGAACCATTATGTAGTTAGTCAAAAGGCTGCAGCCTGAATTTGATGCGCAAACAAAACCAAGAAGTCCCGACTGCAAACTTACCGATTTTAACGTGCCTGTGAATGTGCCGTGGAAACGACATGTTGGTGAGCATGACACGTAGGCCGAAACTAATTCATATGTACCAACCAAACAATACATGCTGATGCCTCCAAACGATTTCCGTTTAATGACCCGTGAGGCATCTCCCGAGGTGATGCCTTTCACTGCTATTAAATGCAAAGCCCTATCGTTGGCCGCGAGCCAGCGGTCGGACTATGGAGACAGGCGCCAGGCTTCTGCATCACCCGAACGCCAGAAGCGTTTACTGGCCAGAGACACTGGCGCGGGTGTAATACGGTGTGCCAGGTGCGGCAGCGGTCACTCAAGCTTTCATTGAAGTCAACCCAACATCAACCACTCAACATTTGAATGATGGTCGTTGCCGCGCTTGCGCTACACTGAGACTTCTCATCGTCCCCGCACGTGGCCAATGGCAGGCGTCAGCACTCGCCGCGCGGCTGTGCGACCTCCTGACAAGTGGGTCTTTGTGGTCTGCAGAAACTGGCCCCACTGGTATAATAGGCCTCCCCTGGCAAGGGAAATGCATTTGCGTTGCTAATGCTAGGCCCTGAGCACGGCCAAGGCGAAAGCCGTCGAAGAAGCGGCACACATGAGGTGGTGCGAGGCATACGGCAGAAATGGGCGGTGCATGGGACAAATGGTCCTGCAGGCCATCCAGAGAACTAATGACATACCAATACAAACGACAAGGCGAGCCAGCTACACTGATACCCACGAAGGCTGGACTTCATAAGTTCGCGGATACCTATAGTCTACCTGGGCACTACATGAACATTTGCAATAGACGCACCCTTAAAACTCGGCATCATCATAATACAATTAAAAAATCGTATACACTATGTTATTTGTGTACAGAACGGCAAACCAGGCTTTGTCATGCAGAGTCCGAGAAAACTAGACAAGCCTGTGTCAGATCAACGATGTCAGTGTACCACCAACATAGATAAACGATGTCATTGTACCACGAACATTTATGTGCGAGTTTCATGAAGCGAGTCTGCATCACTGTCTCGAAGAACGACACCGAGGAGTCGAAGGCAGCGCTGGACGGAAGATAAGCAGACAGGACCGGGCTGGGCCTTCTCATAGGCCAATTCAACATCCATAATTTCAACTTCGAGGTACTCGAGCTCTCCCACGAGCTCAGCTAGTTCGAGTACGAACTCTTCTCACTCGCCGAGATACGGCCGAAGCTGGCCAACACGCCGCGCCTCCCAGTGCCGCCTGGCTACTCGCTGCTGCGCGATAACCGGCCGGTCGGCCGGGGGTACGGCCGCATGGCAGCGTTCACTCGGGCCGGGGTCAGTGTGACACGCAGAGGTCGTCCACATGCAACTTTGTGTCCCCAGCCTCCAAGCACAGTCGATAAGCATCGTCGCTCGTATGCAATGTGGCCTGGCTTCGCTTAGGTTTTGGTTCGGTGCCAATGGTTTAAAAGTGAACGCGGACCAAACGCAGCTGATGCTTTTCGGACGCCGCGAAAATGTTCTTACGCCCCCCCCCCCCCGCCCCCTCTCCATTTCGTCGTCGAATCACAAGAGAACCATCTTACCCCTATTTGGAACATGCAAATATCGAGCTGATCTTTGATTCAACCCTCTGCTGAAATCCACATAAGACCCCTGTCAGTAAAAGCTATTTTTTGTATATTGGTAGGTCCACCACATCTAAAGCAGCGCCCGTTCTCAGGTTCATACCTTGATTAGGCCACACGTGCGTTACTGGTTCTCAGCCGATAGGAAAGGCTCACGGAGTATTTTTTCCACGGCTCAAAAAGTACTCCACTTTGCCCCGGTTATTATTTCGGCCACTAAAAGTGTGATCATGCTTCCGATCTGCTTCAGAAGCTTGGCTTGCTTTTGGTTACCGATTGAACGAAGCTTCACACCAGGACCACACAACGGCATGATAACGACGCTCACATGAATGCGTGCGTGTGTTTGCTTCTTCGAGTGTGCATACCGAGCTTGCTGACATCAGCAATCCTAGTTTAACTAACGACAGGCTCAAAAATCACCCAAATGCATGGCTACATGCCTATACCACCACATCACTGGCGCCTCCTCTTGACCGGAACGAGACTGGCTTCCACTCACGGCAGGAACTGATCCTAGTCTTGGGAAGGGCTGATGGGTCCTCCTGTTAGTCCTCTTAGCCTTCCCGCGCTATGACCATGTCCGGCACGGCGAGGGCCGACTGACGTATCACAAACGCCATTTCCAAGACATCTTGGTCTGTGTGGGGCTTCTCTCGCGGTTATGGCAGGGCCTCGTACCGTATGGTTGTCTGATTGCTTGGGACTTCCTCTCATTCATCACAAGACCTTTTTGGAAGTCAATGGAATCTCCTATTCGTCGAAACATGTCTCATGTCATGCAAAACCATCGAAACTATCCAAATAATCTGTGACCGGGCCGTCTAATGCACTGGGGCGGGGCCTCCCCTCAGACATGAAATGGTCGTCTTGCCGTCTTCTGGCTTAACCACAAAGCAGTCTTACATACGTGAAGCTTCCTCTCATCAATGACAGGAGATAATTCATGATAACTGCGGCACGACCATTCCTGACCATACCAAATCCTTGATAATTGATGCGTCCTCATGATCATTATGAAGTTACGTCGATCATTAGACCTGTCGAAGCCTATGAGGGGCCTACAAAAATTCACAGAGTGGGTTGGTCTGTATGTGAACTCACTTATCTCATCATTTGAGGTCCATGGGCCTTGACCTTCGAGTCAGGTAAGGTCAAAGGTCAAACTCCAGGTCGGAGTTTGAAGGATCAAATTGAGAAAGATCAAACTCCAATCCAAAGTGCCACCATACCTCCTCATGCAACCGCCTTGAACCTTCATTCTTGTTCCAAGCAAATGGTCACTGATATTAAATTGGGATCAATGACCTTGTTTGACCTTTGGAACGTCATGGTGACCGAAAAGCTACGACATTCTTTTTATTTTGGAATTCCAATACGCACCAACGCGCGGCACGCTCCTATATTACGATATGCGGTGCGTTTATGACAATGAATTGATATGGGTCATTTTAGGTCAGTGACCCACTCCAAACTTTGAGAAGTCCATGGAAGATGTCTGTTGCGGTCTTTGTTATCACGGAATTAAAAATGAGCTTTGAAATACCCCATAAAGCAAGCTTTCCAGTAAAAAAGCCCGATCGTTTTGACCTTGGTCTGACCTGACACTAGGTCAATGCAAGTTGCTGTAATCCTAACATAGAATGTTTTATTGCCTAAGAAACTATGCTCTGTTTATCGTAAAAAAGAACGGAATTAAAGCTGGTCGTTAAATTCGTCACGAACATCACGCTGAAATTTTTCCAAACTCAACAAAATTGGTCGGAAGGCCTGCAGGACAGCACTGCGGATCTCTCGAAGCAATAGCAGTTATGGATGTTTGCATTGCTTGCAGCAACTTCATGTTTATACGGTTGGTCGAAATATATATATATATATATATATATATATATATATATATATATATATATATATATATATATATTTGGCACTGGGGTTATTTTCGTTGGCAGCTATTTATTCGTTCTAAATTCATTGCCTACCTTTAAAGCAAGTTATGCTATACTTTCAGTCGGTCATTTCTCCAAATCGGTGCTGTTTCATGAATAACATGGGAAAATCCCAAACACAGAAAATTAATTCGCTCAGTTTTATTAAAGGTATTCGACAAAACGCTGAACATTCAGCTGTAGATATATGTACAATACATCCAGCTCAAACACCCCACACGTAAATACATGACACATCCACGTAAACGCTACGAAGTCAGTTGAAAAGAACGAAACGGAAACACTTCTCATGATCGATGTGTCATACTGTTCTCATTCATCGTTGTCGCTGCCGGAGTCGGTGCCGGAGTCGCTGCTATCATCGGTTGTTACGGCAACTGGTGGGAGATCCTCTAGCAGCCCGTCATTCGTCCAGTACTGCTGCTCCAGCTTTTTGACGTGCTCACAGCACTTACTCCAGTCCTCTGGAGAGACAGCTGCGACAACTGCCTCCACCAGCCGCTCCACCTCCTCCATCTGCCCCGTCAAGTTCCCCCGTCTTATCACGCGCTTCATCTGTGCCCACACTAACTCTATCGGGTTCAAGTCGCAGCGATTCGGCGGCAGGCGAACGATCCGATGACCACGACCTCTAGTAAGGTTATCCAGAAAATATTCCTTCTTCCGGTTCTGGGACTTGACTAGCTCCAGCAACTCCATCTTCCCCATGTCTTCGTCGATGGTCACACCTGCCTGCTGCAACCACTCCTGGATTTCCGCTTTACGCCAGCTAGAAGTTGGCACTTTTTGGCACAAACGGGAATGATATGAGGTATTATCTATGATGATCACGGAGTGCTCTGG